TGGGCGCAGAGCCTGCCCTCTCTCAGTATTTTTGGGTTTTTTCAAATCAGCTGTAGCATTTTGCTTCAGTTTCATTCTCTTCCCAGCCCTGCTCCTGGTGCTGCAGCTGAGCCACACTGAGTGTTAATGGTTCCTCAGGCTGGAGAATGGGGTGGATGATCAGCACAGATCACCAAAGGGGGGGTGGAAATCAGGTCTGTGTTAGAGGGGGGAGCTGGCAGCAAGAGGGAACAACCCTACAGGAGGTGTAGGGGTGTTCGGCCAGGGAAGGCTGAAGTGAAGATGTTTTCAGTACCAAACATCATCAACTTGTGCTTGTTTGGAAAAGAAAAGCGACTGAGAAATTGTTGAGAACGGGGCAGGGCTTAGATACAGGGCAAATTCCTTCAGGGAACACAACCTGGATATGCTTGAGGAGAAGCGTTTGGCTTTAGGAGCATCATGCTAGAAAGAGAAAGACGGTATCTTTTATGAGTGTATTGCAGTCACATCTCAGGTTCCACAAACTTGGACTCAGGTTGTTTGATACTTACCTGTAATCACACACAAGGTGGCAAAAAAGGCTTCACCTGTGATCGAGCTGCCTCTGAAGTCTTGAAATGATGTAAATATTTTGTGGGGGGGGGGGTTTTTTTTAACTTAAATAAAATCATCAGTTCTCATGGCAATACAGCTCTTTCAGAATTTCAGTTTCCACCTGGATTTGGTTTTTTTGGTGTTGTCAGGTGGGTTTTTTTTTGTGCATTCCTCTCATTTACTACTGGTTATGCTGCAGCTGGCAGCAGCAGTGACACTGGCCTGGCCTTGTGCCTGGCATAAGCAAAGACTTCCTCAGTAAAACCATCTTTTTTTTTTCCCTCTCCTTTTGGTGCCTGCAGTAGATCAGGAAGGAGGGAGGGAAATAAGCACAGAAATAGTCTACACATTGTTTTTGAAAACTGTACCATTTATTAAAGTGCAACCTGGGGGCATGGTCTTACAGCAGTGTCCCATTAGCAGAGGGAAAAATGTACATACCCCGTCACTTCAACTGGATGTAGAACAATGAAGCTGGAAAGAACTGACTGTTAAAGGTGGAAACACTTTTTTAATTAATCCCAATGGCACAAGAAGCTTTAGACAGTTTTCCCCAAGAGGGCTGCACTTGCATATTAAAAGGAACAATATGCCCAGTTCCTTGGATAATGGGTGACTTGAGGACCAGTCAGGGTCTCTTCCCCCAGGCAGGCCTCTTGAGAACAGAATCCAGAATCCCTGCAAGTCCATCACTATCTGCTCACACCCAGCAGCAGCCCAGCAGGAGATATCCCCTAAGACACGCACGCTTCAGTCAGTCCCATCAGGCTTTGCTACTTAACAAACCACGTGCCATCCTTGTGGTCTGAGTGGGTTTTAGCTTTACACTTGAATAAAAGCTTCTAATGCGAGTTAAAAACGGGGAGAGATCCCCTCAAGGTGTAGCAGGAAGATGCATCCTCTGCAGCTTGTTCTGTCCAAATCAGTAAGTGTTTAAGTGTTCCTTCCCTCCCCCGCAGATACTGCAGGGAGATCAAAAGCAGCTTCCACTGGAAGCTCACTGTAGCTCCCCGACTTTTACAGCCCAGCCAGAGACCTGGCGCTAGGAGGAAGCACCTCAGCTTACCTAAGAGAGCGAGAGAGGGGCAGCTCTACGGCGGGAGAACAGAGATACAGGTATTTCACTGAGCCATGGGGTTCCCCTGGCTGTACCGGTCCCACTACAGCTGAGCCCTTCCACGCTGGTGCAGGTCTCACTCCCCAGAGAGGTCACTTGAGCAGACACAAACCCAGGAGCCTTCCCTAGAGCCAGCCCTGCAGCCCCTCTCTGCCCAGGCCTGAGTCAGCCAGCAGTGGTGGTTTGGGAGTGTGAGGAAAGCCTGTCACCCCTCCCTAACCCCACTTTTTTTTAATGGCACTACAGAGCTTGCACTTTGAAGCCCCAATACTACACAGAGTTAAAGCAAGAGTGTTCTCAGAACCTTCCTAGTGCTGCAACTCAGAACAAGCCCCAGTAAAGTCAACAGAGAAGCTGTGGCTGCTCCTCCCTGGAAGTGCGGAAGGCCAGGCTGGATGAGGCTTTCAGCATCCTGGTCTAGTGGAAGGTGTCCCTGCTGATGGCAGGGGGGTTGGAACTGGATGAGCTTTAAGGTCCCTTCCAACCCAAACCATTCTATGATTCTATGTTTCATGTAGAGCTTCTGCCTTCAGTCCACACAGGAGATAACGTGCCTCACCTCTCCATGTTTCACTGCGAAACACTCTCCTGCTGCAGCAGGCACTGCTCCTGGTGTAGGTGGCTGCTCCTCTTGGAGCAGACACGTACACATGAGTTGATCTTCAGTAAGTTTCATACCTGGAATGAGATGTTCTACTGAAGTCCTGGGCTCTACCTAGGGATGGCATCTGGGGCTGCCTTCGCCCCTCCACTCCCAGCCTTCCCATTTCACAGCAAAACAATCTCGTGGTGACTCTCAGCTCCTGCAGCCTGAGCTTGCTCTGGTTCCATGCACGGGAGACGATGCTGCCACCAGCACTGCTATTTTTTTTTTGCCAGATTAGCAACATCTCCCTCACTAGGGCTTTGCTAGTCCTGCCACAGCACTGGAGCTGAAATTAAATGTAGGGAAGGCTTATTATAACCTCAGATTTAGTCTGTTACAATCATTAAATGAAAAAAAGACCAAACTTCAGAACCTTGCTTGTTTAGCACTGATAAAACTTTTCATTTGTGACCATTACAAAACATTCATTAGTTTAAAAATCCAGCCCAAAGTGTTAACCTAGCTGTGCTCAGAGCTACCTGAAAAGGAAGGAACCAGGATTCTGTACAAGAGCAGGACAGCTCTGAGCTGTCCCTGCAGCTGCGGGTACCCCAGCACAACTCCCAGCCAAGGAGGAAAGCTCACGCCCTCACAACCAGCGGGGATGGATTCTGGTAGCAGTCACTTGCTCTCTAGAAGGCAGCTTAGGAAAGAGACAACTGACTGAAACAG